CCCCAGGCTGGAGTGCAATGGTGCGATCTTGGCTCACTGCAACCTCTGTCTCGCGGGTTCAAGCAATTCTCCTGCCTCAGCCTCCCAAGTAGCTGGGATTACAGGCACCCACCACCACGCTTGGCTAATTTTTGTATATTTAGTAGAGACAGGGTTTCACCATGTTGGCCAGGCTGGTCTCGAACTCTGACCTCATGATATGCCTGCCTCAGCCTCCCAAAGTGCTGGGACTACAGGCGTGAGCCACTATGCCCGGCCTGGTAAGTTTTCTTAATAGGCACTAGGCAATTACTGGATATTTTCACATTATGATATGAAAAAAGCCTTAAAACATTCAGGCCGTACTGTAGAATAAATAATCTAATCTCTTTTTTCCCTATTCTCCCATTTTTACAGATGGGGGAATTAGAAATTTCCCAAGATTATATGAGGCCATAAAGTAGATGGTGCAAATTGCCCAAGATTATAGCTAGTTGGCATAGAAAATGGATTTGAATCCAAGCCAGTACTGTGTCTTCTACTCAGTCCTTCATCTAGGTTCTATCAAATCCAAAGAAGCCATGTGAGACAGAAATGTTTTTATTTCACAGTAAAATACTTCTTTTCTTTTTTTTTTTTTTAAATAGAGATGGGGGTCTCATTGTGTTGCCCAGGGTGGTCTTGAACTCCCAGGCTCAAGTGACTCACCCACCTTGGTCTCATTTCACACTAAAAGATTTCCATAATAGCTCCTGAGATTTTACTCCTCTGATGTTGGAAATTTCCATGGTGAAAAGTTTTATTATGCAAAAAATCACCTGGGGTGCTTGTTAAACATGCAGATTCCTGGATGGCCAGAAAACTTGTCCTTGGTCAAGAGCAACATTAAGACCTGCCTGTTACTCATACCAATGCTTTCTGCCCAGCAAGTTTCATCAGAGGGCGAGGATGAATTATGGTTGCCACAGATGTCCTTGTGAGGCAGTTGGGAAGCCTTGGTAAGTTGTCAGTGGCTTTGGTGGGGTTCCCCAGTTGGTGATAAAAAAGAGAAGGGAAACTGGTCATGATCTGGCCCTTCTAGCCTTCTTTCAACAGTTATTAAGTACTTAACTAACTACCAGAGAATGTTGCAGACATTAGCAAAGTCTTGCCACAGAACTTTTGTTCTTGTGAAGTTAGACAAAGGGATAAGTAACCAGTAAATGTATAATGTATCATAAGTGTTATATCAATTCTTTTTTTCCCATTATGATGTGGAAAATGATTAGGTTAAACTAAGCAACATCTTGTGGTTTTCTCCCTTCTTCCCATTCTCCTTTTTAATACCTGCCACAGTTGCTCAATGCAATGGAGGCTGACCAAACTGAGTGTTGGGAAGGTCAATGCAGTCTTTTTTCTTTTTGTAACTTCTCACTAGACTGGATTGTGAAGGATATTTGAAAAGTATTTTAAAGTCTACCAGAACCTCCATGTGAGTGACCATGCAGCAAAAGAGTGAGGGTCCTTTCAGTGATTAAGGTAACATAGTGATTAAGGTAAGTAGGGGAAGAGAGGCTGACTTTGCCCTGATTCTTGTCAGGGAGGCTCTTAGAAATGCCATTTCCAGAGTATAAGTGACAGGCCAGCACTTTCAAAGCCTGCAACTTACTCTGTAATATATCCTTCTTAAAACGATTCATGTAGATTATATGCTTATCCAGTCTGTGATCACTCCTGCAGAAGATCAGAATAACTGAAATATGGGTGATATAAGCTCCTGCTTTTGTAAATGTTTTGTTGAAACACAGTTGTGTTCATTCATTATTATCGATAGCAGCTTTTATTCTACAACAGAGTTGAGTAGTTGGAATAGAAACCATATGGACCATAGAGCTTGAAATATTACTGTACTGTCTGGCCCTTCACAGAAAGTTTGCCAGTTCTTGGCATAGGTTAAATAAATGTACTATGTCCACAAATCCTCCTCTCCCTATTTTCCTTTCAATGGGACTTGCATTTACAGTTGATCCTAGAATGTATGGAATCTCATAGTAATCACATGGCTTCTAAATTTCTTCCCACTCAAATTAAGCTCACCAAGAAAGCATATTCACAAATTGGGCTACATGTACAGAAGGAACTATGTTTTATATGCCTCACTGTAGTTAACTAATTTATTCTATATGTATGGTTCCCCCATTTTTTCCTTCTATTAAGGGGTAACTTTTAAAATTGAGCCATTCATGAGTATCCAAAAAGTTGCAACTTATGTTTTCTAATTAAGACTTTATCCTTATTTTAGTACACTTCCCCTCTCTGGCTTTTTTTGCATATTTCTGTAGATGTCTAAGGGGGAATAAACCCCCTTAGAAGATTAATTTTCTGCAGTTCCCTATTGAGGAAATACATGACATTTAGCTTTTTAATAATTTGATGCCATTCATTGAGCACCTGCTTTGTGCTTTATGTACCCTGTCTCATTGAATTCTTATAGAAAACTGAAAGAGTTAGTTTTGTGTTGAGTTGTTACTACCACCATGTCAACAATGAGTCTTAGAAAGCTTAAGTAACTTTACCTAGGTCACATTGTAATCAGTGGCAGAACTGGGACTTAAGAGCATTTTCTTTTCTCTCTCTCTCTCTCTCTCTCTCCCTCTCCCTAAGAGATTGGGTCTCACTATGTTGCCCAGGTTGGTCTTGAACTCCTGGGCTCAAGCAATTCTCCTGCCTCACCTCCCAAAGTGTTAGGATTATAGGTATGAGCCCTCATGCCCACCCCTTGCATTTTCTATTTAAGTGGTCTTAAAGTTTTTTTGTTTTTTTTTTTCCTTTTTAAGTCTTGGAATTCGGCCTTTAGTAAGCGTAGAATAGCAAACTGTAATACCTGAACTGGGGAAAAATTCCTTGAATTCTTTAGGAAAGACTTAGTTGATGGGTACAAAGTAAAATGCTCAGGAATCAGATACCAGTATTGATTACCTATCCATACATATCCTTCTTCACTCTGCCCTGGCATATCATGGTTGATGTATATAGCAATGATCATCCCTTCTGTAATTCTTCTTAACAACTTAGAAGTGAATTGGTAATACTCTTCTAGCTAAAACCCTTCTTTAGGTGAGTGTGGTGGCTCCCACATTATCCCAGCACTTTGGGAGACTGAGGTGGAAGGATTGCTTGAGCCCAGGGGTTTGAGACCAGCCTGGGTAACATAGCAAGACCATGTGTCTACAAAAAACAAAAAATTAGCTGGGCATGGTGGTACATCCCTGTAGTCCCAGGTACTCAGGAGGTTGAGGAGGGAGGATTATTTGAGTCTGGGAGGTTGAGGCTGCAGTGAGTTGTGATCAAACCACTGTACTCCAGCCTGGGAGAGCGAGACCCTCTCTCAAAAACAAGAAACAAAAACAAACACAAACTCAAGTCCTCCTTCTCAGCAATTTCTCTCTATTTTTTCTTTCTTTCTTTCTTTTTTTTTTTTTGTGAGATGGCATTTCATTCTGTTGTCCAGGGTGAAATGCAGTGGCATGATCTCAGCTCACTGCAACCTCTGCCTCCCGGTTTCAAATAATTCTTCCGCCTCAGCCTCCCGAGTAGCTGGGACTACAGGCATGCGCCACCATGCCCGGTTAATTTTTGTATTTTTAGTAACGATGGGATTTCACCATATTGGCCAGGCTGGTCTCGAACTCCTGACCTTGTGATCCACCTGACTCCGCCTCCCAAAGTTCTGGGATTACAGGCATGAGCCACTGTGCCTGGCCAGTTTCTCTTTCTTATCCGAGGCCAGCCACATACCTACTTTCTAAGAACTTCCTTGCTGTCTTAATCTTTTCAAGGCAGGTGACAGCTTTATATAGTAAATATGCCTTCATACCCAAAGAGACTAGGTCAGGAGCCACCTTTTTTTTGTTTTTGCTTTTAATAGCTAGTGATTTTGAGATGACGGGGTTTCTGGGAGGGATTGGGAACCTTTAAGAATTCTGTTAACTTTTTAGAACTTTAATACCAGATGGGATCAGGTAAATAAATAGTTGTAGGTAGAAGAATTCCCAGAGTAGGCATATTAAGTGTCAGGTGCAGGATAAACTATGGTTCCCTTCCAGTGAAAGGACACCTGGATGTGATCATTGTTTCCATAGAAGGGTCGAACAATATGGCAGACACAATGGTCTCCCACAGAGAAATGAGCCGTAAAAAGGCCCTGTAAAAGCAAGGATGGCTCATTGTTTTAAGATAGCCAAATGTATGGCACTTGGAGAATTTCCAAGAGTGGAAGGCCTTCTTGATTGCACTCCCCTTTAACTGGTGGTGTAGCACTTATTGGCCTTTTCACAGCCTTGCCTCTTATGGGACTAGTGGAGCATTGAAATGGTTCATAGGTAAAGTGAAAAACGGTTATGCATAGTGTGTCAGCCCACCCTAAGCTCCCAGAGCCTCCATTCTGAGTACAAAGGTCAGTTTTCTTATTGGGACAGGCTAAGGATGATGGGGTTTTAATTTCTTTCCTGATCCATGGCAAAGCATTCCTAAACTAGGCACTGGATGTCTTGGTAACTGGAAAGAGACGTTCACTAAGTTGAGGAAGGCCAAAGCCAAGTGACCTTATATAGTCCCTAGATAGAAAGCATTCCATTTTATGGAATAATTTTTGGTCTCTTTTTTTTTTTTTTTTTTTTTTTAGACAGTGACTCAGGCTGGAGTGCAATGATTCAATCACTGCTCATTGCAGCCTCGACTTCCGTGCATAGGTGATCCTCTCACCTCAACTTCCCGAGTAGTTGGGATTACTGGCACATACCACGATCCCCAACTAATTTTTTGTATTTTTTGTAGAGACGGGATTTTCCCATGTTGCCCAGGCTGGTCTCAAACTTCTGGACTCAAGCAATCCACCTGCCTTCACCTCCCAGAGTGCTGGGATTACAGGTGTAAGACACCATGCCTGGCCCTGGTCTCCTTTCTTAATCCTGTTGAATAAGCAAGATTTTTTTATCTGAACCCTCCTCTTACTTACTTTTTTTTCTGTTCTCCTTCCATGATCGCTTTGTCCATCTTCTTCTTTGTCACAGGTTTGTCCTATTTCTAATTCCCTTTCTCTTTTCTTTCTTAGGCTAGCCTTTGAGACTGCATTACACTTCCCAACTTAAAGTCTTTTGATAATCCAGGCAGCTGGGTTATACCCAACTTCAAGTCTTTTTGTTGTAGCAATATGGCATTTATCTGGGGCATAGGGTACACACAGTAGGTTTCTCTTCTCTCTTTTTTAACGTATTTGTTATGTTTATGCATGTAAAGAATATATTGTTGGCCAGGTATGGTGGCTCATGCCTGTAATCCCAGCACTTTGGGAGGCTGAGGCGGGTGGATCACTTGAGGTCAGGAGTTCGAGACCAACCTGGCCAACATGAAGAAACCCTGTCTCTACTAAAAATACAAAAATTAGTGGGGCATGGTGGCTCATGCCTGTAATTGCATCTACTCGGGAAACTGAAGCAGGAGAATCGCTTGAGCCCGGGAGGTAGAGGTTGCAGTGAGCTAAGATTGTGACATTGCACTCCAGCCTGGGTGACAGAGGGAAGCTCTGTCTCAAAAAAAAAAAAAAAAAAAAAATTTGGAAACCACCAAAAAGTAGTATTAAGAGGGAAATAAAAAGTACTCATGATCTTAGGACACTGTCATGTGCTATTTTTAGTCTTATTCACCCACTTTTCTCTTTACACAACATACTTTTAGGTTTTAAATTTTATTATTATCTAAATTTTTTTTTTTTTTTCAGATGAAGTCTCGCATTGTTGCCCAGGCTGGAGTGCAGTGGCATGATCTTAGCTCACTGCAACCTCTGCCTCCTGGGTTCACTCAATTCTCCTGCCCCAGCCTCCCAAGTAGCTGAGATTATAGGTGCGCACCACCACACCCAGCTAATTTTGTATTTTTAGTAGAGACAGGGTTTTACTATGTTGGCCAGACGGGTCTTGAACTCCTGACCTCGTGATTTGCCTGCTTCTGCCTCCCAAAGTGCTGGGATTACAGGCTTGAGCCACTGCGCCTGGCTCTATTATCTAAATGTTAATTTTAAATATTAATTTTAGTGTACTTCTTTGATTATTTTCTTTAGAGAAATTTCTGGTTATAGAATCAAGCTTATTAGCATTCACTGTATATAGTAGCATCATTAAAACTAGCTAGACTCAAGAAGCAGATATTGAATGGGTACCCCTTCTTTACTTTCCTCTGATTCACTCTATTCTGGTGCTCACAGCTAAGTGAGTATGTACACCAATGGCCTATCGTTTGGTCAGTTATCTTTTGTGCTCTGAAATGTCTTTGTTTTTCCATCTGCTTTCAATACCTCTATGCCCTTTGTATATAAGGGTAACCATATTGTTCTTTCCTGCAAAATAATAATACCTTTCCTTCCACTCAGAATAACTGCCTAATACATACAATGAATAAGGGTCACATAGACTCAAGAGTAGTGATGGAGGTTGGATGTGGTAGCTTGTCCCTGTAATCCCAACACTTTGGGAGGCTGAGGTGGGAGGATTGCTTGAGCACAGACGTTTGAGATCAATCTGGGCAACATAGCGAGATCTCACCTCTGCTGAAAAATAAAAGTTAACTGGATATGGTGATGCATGGTTGTAGTCCCTTATAGTCCCAGCTACTTGGGAGGCTGAAGCAGGAGGATCACTTGAGTCCAGGAGTTTATGTTTGCAGTAGCTATGGTCATGATGCTGCACTCAGGCTGAATGACAGAGCAAGACTCTGTCAAAAAAAAAAAAAAAACAAAGTATGTGTGACTTCATCGTTTCTCATCACTCAGTGTTCTTTCCCTTACACCAGATCATAAGACAGTATTCTGACATGACAACTTAGGTCAGTTTATTAGAAATAGTCTTTAATTAATTTGGTAAATTACTATGAATGAACATTTCATTCATTCTGCTAGGTCTTAGGTTTTGCCAGCTGTTCCATTAAGGGACACTCTATGGCGCGGGTTGGCAAACTTTTTCTGTAGAGGGCCAGGTAGTCTCTCTATTCAACCCTGCTGATGTAGCATGAAAGCATCCATAGACAATATGGAAACAAATGAGCATGATTGTGTTCTGATAAAACCTGATTTACAAAAACAGGTAGCAGGTTGGATTTGGCCCATGGGGCCATGGTATACTGATTCCTGCTTTGCAGTATACATACACAAAGACTTTCAAACAGATGTATACAATAAAACAACCATTCAGAGTGATTTGATTTACAGTGTGTACAATATAATAAAAATAATACAGCTGTATTTGAGTCAGCACTGAAAAGTCTCCTCTGAACTGTGTCTTCTTACCTGCATGAATTGCAGAATATTCATATGAATACCATGAATATTCTTTATGGGCCATGTTATTACCATCCCTTAGATGAATCTCTTCATTGTCATGAGTCTTTCTTTGCATGGTTTAGAAGTGATGTTGTCTTTATATTATGTTATTTGTTCTTAACCTTACATTATCAGCTCTGGTGTGATTACCTTTTTCATCAACATGTCTTCTACCCTACTTAGGCTTATAAGTGAATTTAATACAGAGTTTATTTTGGATATAATCATGGTCTTAACAGGTAAGGTAGTGGGACTGTGCTATGTCAAACCCTAAATTTGGCTTTCAGGATGAGGAAGTATTAATTCTTCCACTGATATCTCAAAAGGTGATCTGGACAAAGGAACAGGTATCTCAGTCAGGTAAGTGATGGTTGAATATAAAAGTAAATATTATTCTTTGACCTTTTTGTTGTATTTGTTATGTTTAATAGCTTTCCTAATAATGAACCAACCTTGTATTTTTTTTTGAGACGGACTTTTTTTTTTTGGAGATGGAGTCTCGCTCTGTCGCCTAGGCTGGAGTGCAGTGGCGCGATCTCGGCTCACTGCAACCTCCGCCTCCCAGGTTCAAGCATTTCTCCTGCCTCAGCCTCCTAAGTGGCTAGGATTACAGGTGCACATCACCATGCCCAGCTAATTTTTCGTATTTTTTTTTTTTAGTAGACATGGGGTTTCACCATGCTGGCCAGGCTGGTCTCTAACTCCTGACATCATGATCCACCCGCCTGGGCCTCCCAAAGTGCTGGGATTATAGGCATGAGCCACTGCATTTGGCCAGATTCATAATTTTCAAGAATTTTGTATTATGTTTGCTAAATTTGATATTTTAAATTTTATTTTTTTTTATTTCTTATTTTTTTTCATTATCCCCTTCTCTAAGTTAGAATAAATTTTATTTTCTATTTGATGTA